TCAACCACTAGTTTACCTATCCCATGTTGGGTTGTATGTCCAGTATCAACCACTAGTTTACCTCTCCCATGTTGGATTGTATGTCCAGTATCACCCACTAGTTTACCTCTCCGATGCTGGGTTGTATGTCCAGTATCACCCACTAGTTTACCTCTCCCATGTCGGGTTGTATGTCCAGTATCACCCACTAGTTTACCTCTCCCATGCTGAGTTGTATGTCCAGTATCAACTACTAGTTTACCTCTCCCATGTCGGGTTGTATGTCCAGTATCACCCACTAGTTTACCTCTCCGATGCTGAGTTGTATGTCCAGTATCTCCCACTAGTTTACCTCTCCCATGTTAGATTGTATGTCCAGTATCACCCACTAGTTTACCTCTCCCATGCTGGGTTGTATGTCCAGTATCACCCACTAGTTTACCTCTCCCATGTTGGATTGTATGTCCAGTATCACCCACTAGTTTACCTCTCCCATGTTGGGTTGTATGTCCAGTATCACCCACTAGTTTACCTCTCCCATGCTGGGTTGTATGTCCAGTATCAACCACTAGTTTACCTCTCCCATGTTGGATTGTATGTCCAGTATCACCCACTACTTTACCTCTCCCATGTCGGGTTGTATGTCCAGTATCACCCACTAGTTTACCTCTCCCATGCTGGGTTGTATGTCCAGTATCACCCACTAGTTTACCTCTCCCATGCTGGGTTGTATGTCCAGTATCACCCACTAGTTTACCTCTCCCATGCTGGGTTGTATGTCCAGTATCACCCACTAGTTTACGAGTTATCTCTCCCATGCTGAGTTGTATGTCCAGTATCAACCACTAGTTTACCTCTCCCATGTTGGGTTGTATGTCCAGTATCACCCACTAGTTTACCTCTCCCATGCTGGGTTGTATGTCCAGTATCACCCACTAGTTTACGAGTTATCTCTCCCATGCTGAGTTGTATGTCCAGTATCAACTACTAGTTTACCTCTCCCATGTTGGATTGTATGTCCAGTATCACCCACTAGTTTACCTCTCCCATGCTGGATTGTATGTCCAGTATCACCCACTAGTTTACCTCTCCCATGTTGGATTGTATGTCCAGTATCACCCACTAGTTTACCTCTCCCATGTTGGGTTGTATGTCCAGTATCACCCACTAGTTTACCTCTCCCATGCTGGGTTGTATGTCCAGTATCACCCACTTGTTTACCTCTCCCATGCTGGGTTGTATGTCCAGTATCAACCACTGGTTTACCTCTCCCATTCTGGGTTGTATGTCCAGTATCACCCACTAGTTTACGAGTTATCTCTCCCATGTTGGATTGTATGTCCAGTATCACCCACTAGTTTACCTCTCCCATGCTGGATTGTATGTCCAGTATCACCCACTAGTTTACCTCTCCCATGTTGGATTGTATGTCCAGTATCACCCACTAGTTTACCTCTCCCATGCTGAGTTGTATGTCCAGTATCACCCACTAGTTTACCTCTCCCATGTTGGGTTGTATGTCCAGTATCACCCACTAGTTTACCTCTCCCATGCTGGGTTGTATGTCCAGTATCACCCACTTGTTTACCTCTCCCATGCTGGGTTGTATGTCCAGTATCAACCACTGGTTTACCTCTCCCATTCTGGGTTGTATGTCCAGTATCAACCACTAGTTTACCTCTCCCATGTTGGGTTGTATGTCCAGTATCACCCACTAGTTTACCTCTCCCATGCTGGGTTGTATGTCCAGTATCACCCACTAGTTTACGAGTTATCTCTCCCATGCTGAGTTGTATGTCCAGTATCAACTACTAGTTTACCTCTCCCATGTTGGATTGTATGTCCAGTATCACCCACTAGTTTACCTCTCCCATGCTGGGTTGTATGTCCAGTATCACCCACTAGTTTACCTCTCCCATGTTGGATTGTATGTCCAGTATCACCCACTAGTTTACCTCTCCCATGTTGGGTTGTATGTCCAGTATCACCCACTAGTTTACCTCTCCCATGCTGGGTTGTATGTCCAGTATCACCCACTTGTTTACCTCTCCCATGCTGGGTTGTATGTCCAGTATCAACCACTAGTTTACCTCTCCCATGTTGGATTGTATGTCCAGTATCACCCACTAGTTTACCTCTCCCATGCTGGTTGTATGTCCAGTATCACCCACTAGTTTACCTCTCCCATGTTGGGTTGTATGTCCAGTATCACCCACTAGTTTACCTCTCCCATGCTGGGTTGTATGTCCAGTATCACCCACTAGTTTACCTCTCCCATGCTGGGTTGTATGTCCAGTTACACCCACTAGTTTACCTCTCTCATGCTAGGTTGTATGTCCAGTATCACCCACTAGTTTACCTCTCCCATGTTGGGTTGTATGTCCAGTTTCACCCACTAGTTTACCTCTCCCATGTTGGGTTGTATGTCCAGTATCACCCACTAGTTTACCTCTCCCATGCTGGGTTATATGTCCAGTATCACCCACTAGTTTACCTCTCCCATGTTGGGTTGTATGTCCAGTATCACCCACTAGTTTATCTCTCCCATGCTGAGTTGTATGTCCAGTATCAACCACTAGTTTACCTCTCCCATGCTGGGTTGTATGTTCAGTATCAACCACTGGTTTTCCTCTCCCATGCTGGATTGTATGTACTGTGTCAGCTACTGGAATGTCTATGCCGTTGTTGATTCCATGACCTGTGCTTATCACTAGTATACCTCCCACATGCTGGGTTGTATGATCAGTATCAACCCCAGGTTTACCTCTCACATGCTGGGTTGTATGTACGGTGTCAGCCACTGGTATGCCTATGCCGTTGTTGATTCTATGTTCTGTGTTTATCACTTGTTTTCCTCCCCAATGCTGGATTAGATGTTCAGTGTCAACCACCGATCTATCTCTCAATGGTGCCTCATATATTCGAACGCAATGGTGTAACTTAGTGAATGATTGTGCTTCTTCCAAAAATAGTGAACAGTGTCGAACCTGGTAAATTAAAACGCTATCTGATTTCCGGATATTAATGAAAAACGTGATTAAGCAAATTTTCACCAGCATTTACTGAGACAGTAATTGTGTTTGATTTTTTTTCTAATTTTTGTGTATTTATTCACTGAGTTAAATTCAAACGAACTGTCAAAGGTTACAATTATACAATTCTGACATGACAAACATAATTTATCTTATATCTTGGATACATTCATTGACCTTGACCTTGACGATTCAATACGATTCAGTACTAAAATATGTGTATATGTGTTTGAGACAGATAGCGTGGTCTTAAAAGCTTGGTCGAGGTGGTAGGAGGGTGTCAGGGGCCGTGCTTATATAACCTCGGGGTCGTGTTTTATCTTTCGCTTATTATCTTCATGATGTTTGCTTTGTACCTGGTATCTCTGAGTTGTATTTGAATCACGTGTGGGTCTGATTGACATGGAACGCTCATGGCTCGTGTCGGTAAAAACATAATATCTACAAACAGATCGATTGTGTAAATCAATATCCTGTTTAAAACAGCTGTCAACTGAACAAACAATCCCACGCATAAAATATATCTGGTGTGTATCTAGTGTGTCCCCTAGAGCGCTGCCATGAAGCCCAGATATCACATTAGGTAGGAATCCAGTGTTGTCAAGAAGTTATGGAGATTGCTTTGTCCCATGCTTAAAGCAACAATGCATCTGCTGGGTTCTTTACATAGTCTCCCTTATCATTAGACAATCTGATTTGTGTGTATATATGAACTGATATGTTCTATGTGCTACATGTATTTCAGGTGACCTAATGAGTAAATGTTGAGGGGAAGGTTTCTCCAATAGCAAACGGAGTACTTATTGGACACCGTTTTGCTTAAAGACATATTTTAATGAGATATTGTCTTTCCAAAATATTAGGTTTTACTGTAGTAGGTGAGGTGAAATTGGGTTTAACGTCGCGTCCAAGATTATTGCACTTATATAGTGACGTGCATGCACGTGTGTGTGTTTGTGTGTGTGTGGCTGCTTGTTCTTGTCCGGACTGATGCGGATTTATATTGCTAGCACACTGAGATACCATGCCGCAGTTTAACATGAATAACCCACTCAGACACAGTATACTGAATCCGAGCCGACAAGTCCATGTTTTAGCCCCTTAATGCCGAGCGCCAGACAGGGTAACAACAAGTACCATCTTTTAACGTGTTTTGGCATGACGCGGCCGGGGATCGTACCCCGGACCTTTCACTCCCCGGCGGACGCTCTACAACTAGACCATGGAGGCTGTCTTTTTACTCTAGTAAAGAGTAGTGTAGAGTTGCCGTATTGAACAGATTTTGTTTGGAGGCATTCACCTTAAAGTTCAGGTTACCGAGAGACGGTAGATCTTACGTCGTTCTAAATCATTGGACATGTCCGTAAATTGTTCATTTGGCTGACATCGTCTCCAGACTTGTTTTATTTACGGTGTATGAGACGTCAGATTTCATGTTGAATTTTAAACCTGGTCAGGCATAAAACGCCGCTGTACCGCGATAACAACAGCCTCTCACTGAAATGAGCTCTCTATATCTACCCTTAATTTAGCAGACGTTTAACAAAAGATTCAGTTCATATTATTAATTTACTGGACTGAATAACAAAACGTGTTATAGTATGCACATCGTTATTAATTATTTGTTCCAAAATAGTTTTTCCGTCACATTCAATTGTAATCGAACTCCCTAACATACTTGTACAAACTTTTTTAGTCCTTCTAACGTTGTTTTAAAGAGACCTTTGTCAAGATTGCAAAATATCAGTTAGCAATTTTATCACTAACACGCATATTGTTCTTTTCTCTCATTACTCAATGTCCTTAACACATGGTTGGCTGTTTGATGACCCGGAACACACGTATCCACGACTGACAGAGTAGATGGCGTAGATAGCGTCCATACTTTGGATGCACAAACCAGTAGAACATGTTCACAATCTGACATAAACATAACGCACTTCGTACTTCTTAGGTGCTTCCTGGTACCTGGTGAGTCATGGTCCTAATGTAGTCCACTAGTTGCAACATGTTTCCCGCTGGTGTCGTAGTGAACAGAGCCGCCACCGGCAGGTGACATAGAAAGATAAAACAACGACTGTCGGCTTCATGTTGACCATACACAGAGAACGGTAGCTGTTGATGTAAGTTAACACAGTTTTAGAGCGAGCACACAACAGTGAGTAGATTTGTTCGTTTAATCCTATTGTGAATTGGTGAAGTTGTGATGGTGTCTCAGGAAGTATACATGTTATAAACAGGACATGTACTACAGGGGTTTCAAGGATCTGTGTCTCTGTCGTTCTTACATAAGTCGGGGCGGTCGGGTAGCCTAGTGGTTAAAGCGTTCGCTCGTCACGCCGAAGACCCGGGTTCGATTCCCGACATGGGTACAATGTGAGAAGCCCATTTCTGGTGTCTCCCGCCGTGATATTGCTGGAATATTGCTAAAAGCGGGGTAAAACCATACTCACTCACTCCTATATCAGTCTGTCTTATAATATTGTAACTAAGAAGTGCGTTTGTTCAAAGGGTCAGATTATTTGTCTTTGAAGCCAACAACTCTATACATGTCGTAAATAATTTTCTGCATGGCTTAATGTTCACTTTTTGGTTAACGATTTACAGCAGTGGTTCATTTTACATTCCGCAGACCATATATGATGGTTAGTTTCAGATTTGATCACGGTCGTGATTTACAAAATGTTAGGAGGTATACGGTTCTAGGGATATTTGTGTGGGAACACATTACCACCGGTGGTTGACGTGGCGTAAAACTGCCATGACTTGTCAAACATTCATGCACTCAACGAGGCTTACTGCGTTTAAATTTCCTCAATGGCGGGAGTCTGTCCCACTCCCCATGAAGCGCCTGGCCAAGTTCAGCCAACGTGGTCGGCGGCGTATGACGTTGACTCTCACGTCTCCCTATCATGTCCCAGACGTGTTCAATGCGGGAAAGGCCTGTGCTCATTGCTTGCCATGACATTCTACGGATGTTGTGCTCCTTGGGGTGAACATTGACGATTCGTGCACATTGAGCATGAGAGTTACCATCCTAAAAGACAAAACGTTGACTCACACACCTTGCAAACGGGCGAACAAAAGGTGGTCAGTATGCGGTCCCGATAGTACTGTCCAGTGAGACCGCATCCGTGGTCTAATGGTAGAACGTCCGGCCGCAGCTCCATGATTCCATCCCCGGCCGCGTCAATCCAAATTACAATAAAAGATGGCACTTGTTGTTACCCTGCCTGGCTCTCGGCATTCAGGGCCTAAAACAAGGACTGGTCGGCTCAGACTGGTTGGGTATATCATGGTGAACTGGCACGCAAGGTATCTCACTGGCCGAGCACTATAAATTCGGCATCAATCCTGACTAGGTCAACGTCACACATACACACACACAAGCACGCACGCAAACACACACACACACAGACACACACATACACAAACACATATACACATGTATTCACGTCGCTATATAAGTGCAATGATCTTGGGCGCGATGATAAATCCCTTTTCACCTCACCTCACTGTCCAGTGACCCTCTCTTGCACAGTATGGAGTAGGGTTCACTCTGTCATAGTGATGCCACCCAACAAAATGGTTGATCATGATCCACCGAGGCATCTTTCATAAGGTCTCAAATTCACATTGGCTTAACCTTCATTTCGACATCGCCAGACACTCCCACGCCTAGCAAGTAAGTTCTAAGAGGGTAGGGAATATTACCCACGTTTCAAATTCGACGTTGTGTACACCACTGACGCCTGTTGGGAGTCTGACACGGCACGGCACGGCACGGCACGGCACGGCACGACACCTTGTCGTAGAGCATGGAGATTAGCTGCATGTGGACGATTTCTAATTTCTGACCCTTAACTAGTACGATTGTAATGAAAGTTTGCAGCAATTTGAATCGACGTTTTAGTTCGACTTCGCGATCGGAGAGCCTGGTTACGGAGCAATTGATCGTGTCCCTCGGCCGCCCTGAAGAACGGTCGATCGTAAACATTTTGGGTTTGTTGGTACCTGTTTCATTGTCTGGTAATCAGACTGTGAAACATCGAACGTATTGGACTTCAGCAAGCCTCTATCATGCCAATAGTCCATAGACGCTCCGCGTGTTGCACACACCGCACCGCTATTTCATACCCAAACAATAAAAGAAATCAGTGTGATAAGAAGAATCAATAAGGTTGGCAGAAATAAGGGTCAACTGAAGGACAATACCAACCCTAGAAGTGTTTTGGTGTTACATTTTACAAATGTTCTTGCATAGGACGTTTGCCGTCAACACTTATCTTTGCTCTGACATTGGTATAACCATTTATATTTCATGATCCCCTACCTTTTCTTACGAGGATATAAATAACGGCCTATGTATGTTATCTTTCGGACAGTTATACAATGAACAAGCTATAACACGTGTAATTCGATGTTCAGTGCCTAATCCTAGATGATTATTAGTAAGCCTATAAGTCTTTATAAATACAGACACTCAGAGAGACAGACATGCACACACATAGGGGGTGTTCGCAGGACGTCGACATTTTGGCAAGCATGATTCGGACGAAGTCACAGTACGGTATCGTTTGATGATTAATCCAGTTAAGTGTTGTTGTTTTAACGCATTGCCTATCATTGATGATAGTTTCATCGATTATGACAGGAATAACGTGTCACACACAGAGATTATTCTTTAACAGACTGAGTACTATAACTTCCTGGACAGAGCCTTCGATAAACTTTGCTGATAAAAGCATCACACCAGAATTTAAAAACAAGCAGTTAATTATTCACATACATATTTAAAATGAATTATACTGACCAATTTCTTGCAAGTAGCTGATCATGAGAATAAGATGCCCGCTTACATGGTAAAAGATATCTTTCAGATTTACTGTTTGATAATGTGAATTCCTTGCGATTGAAAAGTCCACACAGTCAAACAATATATGCGTAACGGGGAACACTTTCATCACAAGGGATACACGTAAGAGGTTCGTCCTTATCTGTTTTAAGCAGATATTCGTGGGTAAACCGACTGTGGCCAATACGACATCATCGTAAAACCACCTCATCATGTCTTGACTGACAGCCCAGGTAGGTATGCCCGATCTTTGGTTTAAATTCATGAAGTTTTTTTCTTCCTTCCTAGGTGTCCCAGCTATTTTGCCTGAGACCCCGAGTATAACTTTTGATAGTTGGTTTGAAATCGCTGTATGGGATAAGGAGTGGAGATAACGGTTTGTCAAGAGCTGCGTTAGCTGCAGCTAAAGCCTTTGACATAGCTGCTATGCCTATATGACTTTGTAACCAGCAAAAGACGATGTCAGATTGGCCAGTAGAAAGATCATTGAAAAGTTCTAAGATGTCAAGGATTATGTGATGATTCAAGGAGACATTTTGAAGGCAAGTGCAAAAAGGCAATGGATCTGAGAAGATGATGAAAGTTTTGGATTAATCCATTTAATTGAAATTAAATTTTTGTTGTATTCATTGCAATTCCTGAACTCTATTCAGCTGAATTGGTCACGTGTTATTGCCTTCATTTCCCTATGAATGTAAACAATGAAGCCACGCCCTCCGCTGCGGACTACATTTTTTTGCAACGGAATGTCGGGTAATCCCAATATTACAGTCGAGGGATCTCCCTTTCTGCTCACGTGTATCGTCATGCACATTTCATTTTGCAAAATTCATGCATATTCATTGTCAAGATTACCATTTAAGACCGAAGGATGAGGAGGAATGAAACAGCAAACGTGCGTGCAGACTCGCTCTCCTTTTTTGTGGCTTGAATGGGTTCCACAAATTTCATGCCTTCGGATTTCATTTCTAACTAGCATATTTCCAACTGTGTCCTCTCGCTGTCAGGGAACTAATGTTTGAATCTGGTTGTTACTGATGTCATTTGCTTTCTCCCGGACATTTGTTCCGGTTCGTTACAGTGTGACTGTTGCAATTCTTCTCGACTCTTGCCATGATTGGCAGGTTCTATGAACTTTGTTTTGATCCTCCTCTCCATTGATTGGCTACTGATTGTGAGCGTGCTAAGTTATGTGCATAAATTAAACAATCACCTTATTCATGTCACGCCACAGTATGTATACCTGGACATTTTATCAATCTCGTCATTTTTGTCAGCCCTGAATATATACAACTGTTGATGGTTAAACTGTTATAAATAACACATGTCGTTGTAATATTTAATTATAAGGATTGACTGTGTTTTTTCAGTTCATTGAAATATGAATAAAAATACTGATGTGCAAACTTTTGTAAGAATCCGGTACATAGGTCTGCACGCCAAGAAGAACCGCAGTCCTTATATAGTTGTATAGGATCAGGAACATTCCTGAAATTTTCAGATGTTATTTTTTCTGACATAATGTTTGGAATAAAGACCACTTGACCTTTGTAAAGTTCCACCTTGTTGAAGGAGGTTCGTCAGCAGGATTGATAGTTGTAAGTATTGTTAGAAAATTGTAACTTCAACAAAAGTCATCATGGACCGACCATTCAGATTCATGTAAAATATTTGAATCTGTCAGTAAAAAGATCAAGTGCAGAATATGTGCCAATGGCAGGATGCAGATAAGTATTAGATCCATCATTGAAGATGCATAAGTCATTATTTGAGATAAAATCTTCAAGGACTTTTCCCTTATTATTTGTTCCAGTACTCCACAAAGAGGAATATGACCGTTTAAGTTACCTGTGATGATACAGGGCTTCGGGAGCTGGTCATACAAAATCTGAAGATTTGATTGGTGGATAGTTGAGGAAGGTAGAAGATACAGTGAAACGCAGTGTTGAGTGGAACAGGGCTATGGATTGTGCCCTGCTTCACCAGGATAGAAGAACCGCCTATAGCTTTATCACCAGGCATCACAGATATTAAATTTATCTGTGTTTTTAGGAATCTTTGTTGGAGACAAAAAGCTGAGGGTTTAAAATCTTGAATTAAAAGTTGTATAAAACATTTCTTAAGACCTCAGCATTTCCATCGTATTATTTTTTTGTGGATTGATGGTGGTGCTTCCACAGGAGAAATGTCACGCGAACGTAACGAAGACCTTGTTGTGCTCCTATTTAATTCATGTGGTGATGGAGTTACCTCCATGACCAGAGGACCAAAGGTGTTATGGATCTCCACGAGGTGGCCTTTGGTGTTGCTGTATGCAGTTCCTTTTGTTGCTTTTGTTTTAATATTGTTCTCCCTTTCTTTGAAAGATGAACCATTCCTGGCTCTGGTTCAGTTTCTTATTTTGGACACTGATACTCGACAGGTTTTAGAGGTGTCACAGACGAAGGTGTCACAACTGATTTTTAAATGAAGTGGCTGAACCGACCTGGCCCATGCCAGATGTGTCTGGCTGTCGATAAAGGCAGTGATTACAGGGCAAGAGACTGCACCAGGGTAATAGAAGTCGAAATGGTTGCGGTAAAACCTCTTCTTATATAGCTTCGTGACACAAGACATTTTGTTCAGTCTACACTCTCATGATTTTGGTCTCGCGTTTCCATGCAGGACAGGATTGGGAAGAGGCAATATGGTTCCCGCTGAACATTTCACATCTTTCCTGCAGCCAGTGGCCAACTACAACGTTAACCAATAGCAGAGGCATGACCAGGGTGGATTTGGGATATACATTACTATTCCAATGTTACAATAACCAGCTTTGATAATTTGAGGGAAAGATGTTCGGGCAAATGTGAAGTTGTAGGGGTTGGTCGGTTCGACCACACCATCCTTCTTCACGGTAAATCGTTTGACTGCTGAGACAAATTGTTGGACAAGTTCCTGGGCAATTTTTTATCTTTGGTCATGCCAGACAGGCAATGAGCTCTGTCATGGAGGTTAGTGTCTTGTAACCTCTTGTAACATATGTAACCTCTCTGCAATTAACAATGATACCCTTGGAGGTTACATCTGGAATCAATTTGATTGGTTCTATGTCTGAAGCCTCAATAACCAAGATATGTGGCCAATAGTCGGATCGAATAGACGTAGTAGTCAATGTGTTGTCCTTTTTAACCAGGGTGTTGGGTAGCCATGTCGAAAAGATAATGATTCAGCATATCTTTTACCCACCTGCCATGGACTGTCAACAAAGTCTTATACTGCAGCGGATATCCAAGCTGTAAAGACCGAGGAAAAAGGAGTTGTATACTCGAGGAAATTAGAAGGAGCTATCTACCGAATAAAAAGTCAGGCTGGTTCGGCTAATGACAATCAATTAAAGACGCACAGCATTCGGAGGTCAGCATGACCAGATTTACCAATGAGCTACTGCATTTGGAGTGTGTGAGTGAGTAACGCTGATTTTAACAGTAGTGGGCAAGCTTTATTTATGCTTAAACAAATGTTGTTTGTATGAGCACCTGATACCTAAACAATCATTGTGGGCGGTTCATATAAAACCACGTGTGTCAGTATCATAAATCCAACAAACACGCAAAGATCCAAATTGTGCATGCCCCATGAACGAAAGTTCGTTCATTATTGACATCATTTTCAATGCTGTTTACATTTATACAGGAAGTCTCACGATCAGACATGTCGCACAAAGAAATCCTGCGACGTCATCATCGATTGCTGAAGGAGAAACTGGAAGTGACACTGGTTCTTGACAAACTGTACGAACGCGGCATATTCAGCATTGAGGACAAATATAAATGCAAGGCCAATTTCGGTAAATATGCACAGAGCGATGAATTGCTCATCATCCTCACAAGGAAAGGAAAAGAGGGATATGATATCTTCATGCAGATACTGAACGAGGTTCAACCGTACCTGATAGACCAAATTGTGCTGCGAGAATCAAGTCGGCAAGATAACAGCAGTGTAACAGGCGCAAGGTTACTCCAACTAGAGGTACACTTATCTAATTTACAGATGGTATGTCTTAATGATATAGAACCAACCATTCAGTAAACTACGAAGGTTACTAAACTAAGTGTAAAGAGATACTTTGCCTTTATCTCAACGACAAAAACAAATACACAGCTGTAGACAAAAATAAAACGTCAACAATATAATGACGGTCTGTAAATACTTGAGTTGAAACAGTGACACCAACAGTTGAAAATATGAGCAACTGGCTGATGACACATAATCAGAATGTCAAAAATCCTGATTCGATTTAGTTAATCCTTCTCTGGGAACGTTGGGGTGCTGCCGAACTGTTAATACCTTGATTATCCTTTTTGCAGGTAAAACAAAAGGAAATTGAGGAATTGAAAGAAAGGTTACTCAAACGTGAACAGTCTAACATCAAACTAAAGGACAGAGTTCGACAAATTGAAAGGGTAGGCAAATGTTTCACACTATTATTGAAGCCAGCCATTGAGTTATTATTCCTTAACGTCGCATCTGCAATCTGGTACCTAGGCGCATTCAAGTTCACCAGGATAGCCGAGTCTGGACTATTGCAGTCATCATCAGCATAAAAAAAACATAGTTTTCAGTAACTGATATCGTGGTTCTCAAGTAAAGCATCATTTCATGTATATTGGTTATCTGTGTCTTTTGAAAGCGCACTTATCAAAACAAAGGCAGCGATTTTTTATACCCGCCTGTGTTGTTGCATAATGTTTTCTGTTTTGTTTTAGTTTCATGAACAGAAGGAAGGTGGAGCAACTGGTGGAAGGGAAACACATTCAGATACAGGTGTGTACATTCTTTCTTGTATGCCGCTAGATTTTGTTCATATAAACAACACACAATCAAGGTCATGTCAGTCTGCCCTGTGATTTTATCACCCCCAACCGCATTATAAAAAAATAAATAAATAAAAATAAAAATATCCTGTTTTGCAAAGGAAACGGAAAAAGGTTTCTATTCTCTACACAAAATATCCATTGCGACCTGACTGCTACATGTGTATCAATACGAAGAAACTATTTTTTACCAACTTTCCTCACAGTCGCTCTGTTTTATTTTTTATTTTACCTTTGTCAGGTTTTTCCAATGCTGTCATCTCATATTTTCTAAAATCGGCAAAAACGAACAACACTTTCATCCTCCTGTGTAAGTATTTTTGTCTTACAATTGGCATTATCTTTGAGCAGTGGTGGGTGTTGCGATGTGCAATCATGTATAATTTCCGTGAATACACTGAATATATATGTTCTAAAAGCAGATTCCAAGTCTTCAAATAATAAATGGCGAGCTAATGTACATGTACCCCGATGTCCTGGATCCTTGTTAATGATATCGGTCACTGCATGGTCTGGTACAAACAGGATTATTTAGAGGCCGCCATCAAATAGCTGGTTAAAAACATTCATGTGGTAGCAGATGGACCCTAAGTCACTATGATGGCCTATCTTTGGTTGCTGGCGATCGAAAGACAGTTCTTTTTATAATGTCCTTCTACAGTTATATCGTTTTCATGTGGGGGCACGGGTGGCCCAGTCTTCCCTTGGACACGCCAGAAACCTATGATTGTGGGCTCGAATCCCCGTTCGCCCCGATTATGTTTCTAGGTTTGCCAGCACCATACCCGTGCTCGTGGGTTTCATCGAAGTGGTAAATGTCTGTGACCTGCATCACTTCAGGCTTTCCTCCCACATTAAGCTTGCACGCAGCGATGTAACTGGAATACTATTAAAAGCGGCGTTAAAAACAACTCACTCACTCACTAATATCTTTTTCATGTCGTCAATCTAGGTTTAAGAAGAAAACTGCGGTATACTGGTTGTCATACTGCAATTGACAGAATTTGATATATTATTATAACTGAAATACTGCCAATGTGTCTTGATCACCCGCCCTGATATTCTTGGAATATTGCCAAAACGGCGTAAAACCATACTCACTCATTCACTATTTACAACTGGTCAAGAAAGAGCTTTCTCCTTTTCAAGTGATGAAGCACCACATATAAATCTAAGATTGTGTCAACAATTATGTTCCTACTTTGTCTTTTTGAACTAATATCTACTGTTAATTCAAGAATAGTTAGAGCTGTTATGTGACGTGTTCGATCGTGATTCAACCACTACAAGCCCATTTAGTCATTGAAAGTTTTTCTAAATTGATTCCTTAAAGTAATGTAGGTATGGTTAATATTCTATCCTTCATATACAGGGAAGGTGTAAAGGTGTAGATGCTGTCATGTATAAAACCACTGATAATCAGTGACATCCGTAAATACATACGAATCATAATATTGGGTAACTTGTACACAAACTTCTTGACTCCTTATTTAACCGAAACATGTGCTTTTTTTAAATACATGATTCTTGACGTACAAGTCACAATAATATAAGTACAATTCGTCTCGTGTGATATTGGTGCAAGTATTTGCAGCTCATACATTTTGAGAACACATTCCTGGACAATACTGGAACTTTGTTGCGACACAATTGAAAACGTACGGTTTGTGAAAATATTCGTCGAAGGCCAGGGATGCTTCTTGCAGTCATTGTTGCTGGCTGGAATCGATTTCGTATTTGTGTTGTTCGAATCCAGTTGTCTTGTCCATTATTGGTTACGCGTGGTCTGCCACTTCAAGGATGGTCTCTGACTGCATTCGTCTGTTGCCAATGTTGCCATAAACACCAATCTTGCTTCAAGCATACCAATGGCTCCAAGGCGCTCATTTTCGGTCAGGCGTGGTATTTCGTAATGTTGAATAATTACGTAATTTTGTTGTTTTTCTGAGTGGTTGTTGTCAGCACGATGCTAAACAATTCATATGGAATCCCGTTAACGCAAATGTTTTTATACCCATTCTTGGGTAGTGAAATGCATGGGGCCTGCATAAATATGGAATGCATGCTTTTCTGTAGCAGTTGAATTTTTTAGACTTGATTTCATACATGTACTACAATATTGAAAAACAAACTTTATTTGTTTGAAAAATACACTAAATTATTGGTGTCACAAGAACTTTTGTTGTTGAGTATATATTTAGGTTGTGGGTTATGTTCACGTGAGATATGCCAGATTTTTATTCCTCCACTGCGGCCATGTTGGATTATGACAAAGTGGATTGTTCTTGGTTTCACGCCGGACTCAGCAATATTCCAGCTATATGACAGCGGTCTGTAATTGATAGAGTCTGGACCAGACAATTCAGTGATCATGAGCATCGATCTACGCAATTGGGATTCGATGACATGCATCAACCAAGTCGGCAAACATGACTTCCCGATCCCGTTAATCGCCTCTTACGACAAGCATAATCGCTTTTTACGGCGAGCATGGGTTGTGGAAGATCTATTCTATACCGGATCTTCACTGGTCTTGGATTTCTTGACAAGTGCCACTGTTTGTACATGAAATACGCCTTCATTTGTATGGAAGATGATTTCTAAACATCGCACATGGTGTCTAGGCCACAAGTGAAGATGATTGCCATGTTAAGCGCCTGGTGAGATTTGTTGACAGAGACATTTGAGAACAACAAACAAGGCATTATGTCAGTGTTGATCGTGAGCCTCATGTATTGGCATCCACGGTGAACTAGCTAACCTTCTGTCACTGATGGTTACTTTAAGGTGTGTTTGCAGCGGTGCGTTTCTTGAGTTCTAATGCTTTGATTATTCACAATAAGAGACCACAGAGCCTTCGAAACTCCATTCTTCTTGAATCAGTCTCGATCGTACAGATGTGCATCTTATCGGGTCTGCGTCGAAGATGAATGACTACAGAAAGGTCCTGGATGCACCGTGTATGTCAGTATCTTGTTTAAGGCCGCAATCAACAATATTCAAACTGTATGACGGAGATATCAGTGATTGATATTATGAGCAACGATTCACGCCATGAGATACGTTGAAACGCAACCAGCCAAATCCTGAGTCTGACCACTTGATACGCTGTCACCATTGATTGCATTGGATCAGTTGTACCCCGGAATCCCCAAGGGGAGGCTACACTGCACATCAGTAACCAAAGCAACATACGATTCAGTGAAAGTGTCATCTTTTCACTGTTTTGTTCACATTGGTACAACAATACAAACTTGATTAAGTCTTTGAAATGCGTTTAGAAGTGATACACATTAGGAAGTGAAGTTATGGTGTCAACGTCCTTATTGGGAGGAACACAACGTTTCGGTGTATATACTTATTCCTTCTTGTAAGCAAATTTTGAAAGACACGAGGAAGCTTTTGGCACCTTCCCGGAAGAAAACTTTAGAAACGACGGGGGGATGACACGTAATGCCCCCTTCACATACACGGATTGAGGTGTTCCGAGTTATTACAAGCTATTTACGGCAAACGTCCACGAGTCGTTACGAGTTGTCACGGATAACTATAAGCAACATACGGTCATTTTACGAGCATTTATGGATTGCTACGAGTATATTACGGAATGTGACTATTCATCGAAGCTTTTACGTGTTAGTAACGACCCGTTTACGTATTGTTACGAATCGTTCCAAATTAGCTACGAGTACTTACGAGTTTTTGCCAAAATATATATAGATCCTGCAAATCTCAATGTATCATCATTCGACAACTGATATCAAGAGAGACAACAAGGCGTATGAGAGAAATAGATTGCAGTTATATCAACACTTTCTACAATGGCTCCTTCAACTTGCCCAGAGGGAAGAGGACGTGGCCCAGCAACTACCAGATATTCCTCAACCGATATTGTAGAGAAAATATGCAGAGATGTGACTTCTATGACTTCTTAATACAACTGAAAATGAAGTGTTCGATTTTGCAGCTTTTATTCCTTTCCCCAAATCGTAAACAATACGTAAGAATGCGTAAAGTATACGTATCTATTCGTAAAGTACTCGTTACTGCACGTAAAATACTCGTAATAAGCTGTAACAATCCGTAAAGCCATCATAACACGAGCCGATTAAAATCGCAAACAACACGTAAGCACTCGTAATAATCCGTAAATAATCCGTAAACGAGTCTTAAACTTACCGTAACAAATCGAAAAATTATTTGTTGCGAGTCACTTACGGATCCTTGCGAGCTGTTTACGGATGGTTACGTGTTGTTGCGAGCGATTTACGATAATTACGGATTGTTACGAATTATTTACGAAACAATCAATCTGTGGACAATCGTAAGACAATTGCACCTTCTTTCATGCATCATTAAAAGTGTCTGCGAGTTGTTACGAGTTGTGACGAGTTATTTACGGATGCTTGCGATTGACTACGAGTTGGCGATCCGTAAGGACTCGTAAGAAAAATCTGTGCATGTGAAGGGGACATTACTGGCTATCTTAAACACCAATAAAACAACAAGGTAATTGAAATTGATAGTGACGTCGGGAGCAGAGATGATATGATGGCCTGTATGTCTTAGTGCTGAACGTTTTGAGTACCAATCTTATACAAACTTATACAATTACAACTACCAGTGTGGTGAACAGGATAGACTGCGATACGATAAACCCGTGAAGATCTGGGCTAGAATAGTTCTTCAGCATTGCGTAGATCGATCCTCTTGATGTCAATCACTGGGTTGTCTTGTCCAGACTCGATTATTTACACACTGCCGCCATATTGTTGTAATATTGCAGCGTGCAGCGTTAAACAACAAACAAATCACCACGGCAGAAAGGAAATGTATAGACTAATTTAAAGGGGAAAGGTATGAAACAATTCAGAAACAGGTTCCTCCAATAAGTGCGTGAGTTAGGATTCAAAGTCGCATCGGCATTGTTTCAGCTCCTCCTATAAGGATTGATAAGTTGGATTTTTGAAAAAGAGGGGGAGGCGATTTGAAATGGGTTTCAACGCGTTAACGATTATTTATCTCATGTGTGGCTGCTTGACCTTGCTTGACCTAGCTCACTGAGACACCACGCCCGGGTTTAAAATGGACAGCCAGCTGAGACACAGTTTACTGAGCCGACCAGTTCGTGGTTTGTCCTCACATCGCCGAGAGCCAGGCAGGGTGACAAGTATCATTGTTTAACGTATTTTGGTCGATGTAGCGAGGGGATCGAGACATCGACCTTCCATTCTCAGGACAGACGCTCTATCTACAGAACAAGAATAATTGTATTTATGCCACCCATCATTGTCTTTTTGTTAAATATTAGGTGATTGCCAAGAGTCGATTTATTTCTATTTCCGACGGTTCAGATATGGCTTGCAATCAGTTTCATTTCTGACTGGAATTAGGTTTCACTGCCGCATGTAACACAACCTGAAATGTATACCAGATATATATCGCATTCCAAGTAGTATCGATGTGAAGATGGCAGACGACAAATTTTAAAAACTATTTCTTATACATTATAATCAACAATACGAAAGGATGTTTTGATTTTAACCGAAGACGTGCGCGTGATCACCTGACACGTGCCGATTATACGATAACTGGTAGTTGTTTATATTTCCATTGTTTTCACTCCCACTTTTATAACAGATCTTCTCACATTTTGTCCACGCAACAAGGTGAGTGCATATCCTCCCAGTTCAATACTGCAGAACAAACAAGAAACCAATTACAACAATTGGTCGTCTTCAAATATCTGCTTTCGAAACTAACAGCAGGCAAATCGTGTGCGTCTCAGTAAGAATGGTTTTGGCGTGCTGAAACGACGCCTGTATTTAGTTCGTTTGCGTAACACGAAGCGTCTTGTCACAACAAGACACTGGAAGCAATTTCGTCAACAGTTTGCGAGTTGATTTGTATTTTCACAAATAATTCAAATAATCAAAAACAGTTGGTCCATGTCAGTTTATTTCCATACACAAAACACAACAAAATGAGCATAAAGAACATTATTACAATGTCATACTCAAAATAATGATAATACAGAATATTCCAGAAATGTTTGAACAGTTTTCATAGCTGCCTGCACAATACTTTACCCAGCCGTCTGCACGTTCCTCGTTATACTGCGTTTCTCGGGGTCTCTGTTATAACACGGTGTATGGGAGCAGGAACTCCTCTGTGTGTTCCTGTGTCATCGGCACGCTCTGTTTATAACTAATTGTTTTAGTAATTCAGAATATCATCTGCCAATATATCTGATGATGTAGTATCACTATCTAATGTTCATGTATTGCTGTCGCTTGTGCCTAACCTTGTGATTCATTTAATAACTGACGAACAACACACTCAAATTATTACTTACTACTTTCCTAATTTCATATTCGGGTTAATGGATTATCAGTTAATCTAATATGAACATATATGTTAGCTCGGAATGCCTTCCTCACATCTGTAATCTGATTTTGTTACCTTGTTGTTGAGTAGAGTATACTCATTCATAAATCAGTACCATCTACATGTCATTATATATCATAAATATCACACTTTGGCTCATGTTCACTTGTAAACTACATTCATATGTTGTAGGTATACATCTGAAGTATGACAAAGATAGAGTCAATCTCGCCAATGTCCACATCAACACAGAAGGAGACCTGGTCAACAGGAAGTCGGACACCAGACCTGCAGGGGAGGGGAGACTGAAGAAGTACTGTGGCACATGTAGCACTGCCCCCCTCCCCCGGGCTGGCTGTCCCCAGTACTGGGAGGTGGTGTCTAGGGTCAGTCTGGACGAACCAGTCACAGGGACCTGGCTCATCCTGGAGGTGGGTGTATGCAGGGAGGGGCAGAGGGACGTGCATTATTGTATAGGTGGACAACAGAGCTCCTACAGCCTGGGGGTCTGCCACTGTCTTACACACGGTGGGATATGCAGGAGGACATGGAAGGAGGAGAAGCGTGTGCTGCATCTGCCTTGCACTCTCCCCGACACAGCAGGGGCATCACACACACTACATTACGGTGTTGTCTATGATGACGCCAGGAAGAAGATTATCTTCATTGATGTGAAGGAGAACAAAGTGATATCGACGTTAGACAATGTAGACTCTAGTCAGCCACTGTGGCCGCTGTTTGGGGTGTATAACCCATCTATCCTCACTGTCAGCATGACACTTGTAGTTGGCAGCGACATCAACATGACAGAGGAGAAGAAAGAAATTATTCTCAAAGCGTTGTCGTGATGGTGACAATGATTGTCAAGGCGCTGTCGTGATGGTGACAATGATTGTCAAGGCACTGTTGTGATTGTGGCAATTGATGGTTATTATTAACCCAATGTAAATGTCAGTAGTTTGGCTTTTTTAAAAAGATATTTATCAAACTGAACTAAGTATAATCATTTGGAATTATATTTGATACATGTGATTATTTAGAGAAGTTATTGTTCTGTAAATGGTGCCAAAATCAACAGTGTCATACCGTATTTATTTAGGCGAGGTGAAATCGAGTTTAACGTCGCGTCCAACATTATTGCACTTATATAGCAACGTGCACGCACGTGTGTGTGTGTGTGTGTGTGTATGTGTGCTTGTGTTAGTCCGTATTAATGCCGATTTTATAGTTAGAGCCCACTGAGATACCATGCGGCAGTTGAACATGAATACCCCATCAGACACACTATACACAGTATACTCCGACCCGACCAGCCTAAATACCGAGCGCCAGAGTAACAACAAGTACCATCTTTCAACGTATTTTGGTATGATGCCGCCGGGGATCGAAGCCTGGAACATTCGCTCTCCGGACAGACGCTCTACGACTAGGGCGGTCGGGTAGGGTAGTGGCTGAAGCGTTCGCTCGTCACACTGAAGACCAGAGTTCGATTCCCGACATGGGTACAGTGTGTGAAGTCTATTTCTGGTGTCCCCCGCCGTGATATTGCTGGAATATTGCTAAAATCGGCGTAAAACCATACGCACTCACTCTACTCCGACTTAATCAGGTCGCATGTCTTTAGAGCTTTTGGCGTTGATCATTTTGGACTATGGGTAATTCAGGGATTTGTTTTTCAGTTGGATATGAAATATATAAGTTGTATACAAGGAGTTTATTTAAGAAAAAAACTGGTTTATGCTAAAAGGCGCCTCCAGTTTACTACAATGAGAGTTTCCTTGCATTCGCTTCTGGGGAGAATAGTCCTGAACATATTTTACGCACGCTTCAATGACAATTGAAGTGTGATCGAATATAGTTTAACGCCGCTTGTAGCAACCACGTTAGTGGACACCAAACATGGATTTCCAACTTTTTAACCATGCATGTGTGGAATCGCAACAGGGGCAGTGTTATGACGAGTGAATGTTTTTACCACTGGGCTACCCCACCGCTCTTGAATAATGTGAAAATGAGTGTAAGCGATTGTGTAACACGTATGCACATATATCTCCACGATAATCTGTGATTATATTGTGATTTAATATTCTGAATGTTGCCATTTTTTTGTCTTCAAAGCAACAGGCTGGAAATGAAAGAATGGAATCAGTTCTTTCATGAATTTTATTGACTTCTTGTGAAACGTTATAAACACTGACGGAAGGCAGGTTTCAATGTCGAGGTTATAAACCTTTAAGTATTAAAAAATTAAGATCAATTACTTTAAACCTTTATATTTGAAAATTGGGCTTACATTTCCTCATAGAAAACTGCTTCAGAAGGATTTCTACATAGATATCAAACACCTTCGCCATTTGCGTAAATAAACCCAGTAGGGCGACTCATACTGGGTAAATGTAACCAACTAACTTTAGACAGGCTTTTGTGATCCGTGCTGTATGTGGTTGAGTGTTGTCCTGCTGGAAACACCGAGGACGTGTGGAAGGAAAATTTCGTTGATGCATCCTTGAGCTTTAAGATTGCCATGGATATTGACTAAAATTGTCCTGCCATGATGAGAGATAGCCGCCCACATCATAAGGCTACCCCCACCGAACCTGTCCACTTCCTGTAAGCAGTTTCCGGCCTAACGTTCTCCCCGACGTCTGTGGAGCCCGCGCTTTACAACCCCTTCGACGAAGCAAAAATCTTGATTCGTCGCTGAACCAGACATCTCTCTATCGCAGTTGATTCCATACCCTGTGTTGACGACACCAATGCAGTCGTTTTCGATTATGTTGTCGACTCAACATGACGCGTCAAACAGGACGTCTTGCTCGTTCAGCGTCTGCAACAACAATGAAACACTGCAGATACAAGCCCTCTATTTAAAGGAAGGCTGAGGAGGCATTACATGTAGCTCAAAGGAGCAAGAAAAGAGGCAGAAGCATTGCCATGGTGTCTCAAGGGTTGCCGTGTCGCAGAATTGAGGCACGGCTGTCGCCACAGTCATCGTTCAATGCACGCTGTTGGTCGCCCAAAGGAGGCACAAGGGAGGCAGAAGCATCACCCAGATTGACGGGAAAAATTACCTGGCGACCACTGTGCCTTCATTCTGCAACAACGGCTATGATTGTGCCTCCCTTCTGCCTCCTTTGAACCACCTGTGAACAACCAATCTCCTCGGCGACCTTTGAGCGACTGTTTTGAACATGTTCAAAAATTCACGGCGACCATGGCGTCCATGGCGATGTCTGAAAACCCTGTGTACCACCTTTGAACGACCTAAGCAACCATTCTGCCTCCTTTGAGCCTCCAACGACGACCTGGCAAGTTTTATAGTCGCACACTGGTTGCACGAAGGTCGCCATCCTGTGTAAAGGCCCCATAAACGGTTTCGTACGCTCTGGTCGGAGATTCTGCGCAGTCAGGGTATTTGGGATGCGGTTGAAGTGGCTGTAGTCGTCCTTTCACGAAGGTGGCGCAGTCGGATGTAGCGATCTTGGGCGGGGGTTGGTGACTCTTGGTCGTCCCGACCTTGGCCGATAACGTTTTGACCCATGCTGTTGAAACCGATCCCACAGCCTTGTGATGGTGCTGTGCGCTACATTGAAAACCCGGGCGGTCGGGTAGCCTAGTAGTTAAAGCGTTCGCTCGTCACGCCGAAGACCCGGGCTCGATTCCCGACGTGGGTACAATGTGTGAAGCCCATTTCTGGTGTCCCCCGCCGTGATATTGCTGGAATATTGCTAAAAGCGGCGTAACACCATACTCACTCACTCACTCACTCACATTGAAAACCCTGGCTACAGTTGATCGGGATTTCGCTGCCTGCAAGCGGCCTATGACGTTGTCTCTTCTTTGCACTTCCGTTATTCTTGGTATGTTGTTGAACTGTCACTGTTCGATTGACGCAGAAGCCAGGTAGTCAAAAACCTGCACTGTAATACCGTTCATAGTGCTGTTACAGGTGCAGTGCTTGCAGCTCCATGGCCCTTTTGTTAAAACACTGTGTGCGTTTTTCCGAATTGTACGTGTTTCCCGACTAATGGTTTGCATGTCCTTGTTGTGATAATTTTTTTTCCGGGAAATTTGTCACTGACACTATAACACATTAAACCTCTTCATTTTGCACATCTTGATCAGCTAATTTTGTTTTTATGGCCCAAACTATCCGTTTTGCGTTTCTGTTGTGTTAAGAGTATTATTACACCTATGAGCGGCAAGATTGTGATGATGTGCATCACCATCATCTCGTGTACAATTCATGTCATCACTGGGTTATTAAAACATTTTTTTTAAACTGTTGTCACTTTGGGTTCAACCAAGTCAGCGAGCCTGACCACCTGATCCCACTAATCGCCTGTTATAACAAGCATGATGTTGAAGACCCCTTCTATCTCGGTTCTTCACGTGTGTTTTCCAAATAAGAACATAACGTGTTTATCAATGTATGCCTGAATATTAGCTATATGACGGCGGTCCGTAAAAAATCGAGACTGGACCAGACAATCCAGTAATTGACATCATGAGCATCGACCCACGCAATTGGGATACGATGACATGCATCAACCAAGTCAGCGAGCCTGACAACCCGATCCCGTTAGTCGCCTCTTACGACAAGCATAGTCGCCAATAACATATAAGAATTTAGTATGAGGTGGGGTGTGTCTGTTGGGGGTGGGGTATTAGGGTGCTCACTTACGTATTTCAGAAAATGTACAATGATATTCTTGTTAGATATTCTTGAAGGTTGTATCTTATGTTCACAACTGATCAATATTTACAATGTATAATTTTAATAGAAAAGAGAGATATGCGGCTTTTGGTGTGTGTGTAGAGAAGAGGGTCACTGGTGTTTAAAGGTTAGCACTGGTGTAGGCGATAGTCACCGGGGCTGACAGGTGGGCGCTACATAATGATGTTCTGAGGGAAGGCCATTTATGGCATATGTACATAGACATTACTTTTTAACCTTGTCACAGCGCCAGTGAGCAAATGTCGATGAATATTAGGCGCTTTACAAATCAATTATTATTATTATTATTATTATTATTATTATTATTATTATTATTATTATTATTATTATAATTATTATTTGAATGTTTAATAATTGCAATGGTTAAATGTTAAATGAATATTGAGTTTGTTGAGGAGGATGGTTTGCTTTTAAGTTTGTTAACATGAAAAATAATGTCTTCTATACATAAAAGCGATTGTTATAATGTAAAAAGTCGGAAATATTTGTCTAAATATAAATGAAATTCAACTCACATCGTCTCTTACAAACACCAATAATTGTGAAAAGTTCAAACAAGTTCACATTAGAAATTAGCCCCCTGAGTCAGCTACTATCACAAGGCTCGGTGGTACATGGGCCGATATTGTAAACTGTGATGAAGATGAAAACTGTGAAGAACTTTATATACCGTATTCGTCGTAATAAGCGCCCAGGGCTCTCTCAAAATTCGAAATAGGGGGCTCTTATTATAATAGAATTTTGGTGAAATGGTTGAAAGCCAGAAATGATACAAAAGAAGTCTGTGCTTATTGTACACAACAGATTTATTTTTCAAGAATTTAACTGCCCGTAATTAAGGGTGCATATAACACACGAATGCGTATTATACACGACTAAATTAGTCTTGTGTATATGGATCAATCGGAAGGGTGCTCATTGGGATTGTTCACTAGCCAATATATCAGCAAATATCGCCGTGTGCGCTTATTAGAGCGGGGCGCTTATTACGTCGAATACGGTATGTGAATATTTGTAGTTATCTGTGAACAACTGGAAAACATGAAATAACATGTAAATACATCAAATAATATGTAACAAATAACATAAATCAGATATACGTCTACATAAATCGTTCTTATCGTTATTAGAAATAGAGGTGCCGTTTTCGCCCGTCACATAGTCAGGTAGCCAAATGCGGTGCCGTTTTCGCCAGAAAATCGGTGACGTTTTGCTGAGTTGCCGTTTTAGCACGAACCCTTGTGTGGTTGTCAACCACTAGCTTTATTTGGTTTACCTCCCTTTGGTAAAGGTGCCTCCAACATAAAAATGTAAACAAGAGTGGTATTCACTTTACTCGTTATAATAACAACAAAACATGCACATGTCATTGACAGAAATTGGGTTCTTTCGCGACCTTCCTGTATGTAATATGTCATGCGTATCTGAAGCCATGATAGTGCTCAGCAATTTGCAAAGTACCGGGCCCATATGTCAGCTGCATATGCCATAATGACTGTAATG